TAATAAAGAAAAGTATTTTTAATATTAAAATCAAAATTATTTTGTACGTTGGATAGTCAACATCTTGAAAGAAAAAATTACACGAGCAAATCTATAATAGAAAAATCTTAAAACATAATTCAAAAACCAGGTATTTTGTGTATGAAATCCTTGTAATGTTTACTAATGATCTGCAAAATTTTGTAAAGACTTGCGTACATTTTCAAAAATTGTAGTATAATTACTCTCATAAATACTTTCCTGGTTATGGGCTGTATACGGTTATGGGTTATTCAGTTCTGGCATGATATTTTCACCTACTGAAATAGAATTAGAAGATAAGTTGTTAACAAACTGAATAGAAATAATAAATTTGGCAGAAAGATTATTAATGACCGAATTTACTGTCATCAGATATGCTTGTCCTATGTGGTTGCCAACTGGGCTAGCCACACGTGTGTACAAATTCTTGGCTTATAAAAATACTAGCCTACCCCAATCTAGTATATGTCACTAGTTAGGCCAGATTTGGAGTATTGTGTTCAGTCTTGGGATCTTTACCTTAGGAAGGACATTGCATTGTTGGAAAGGAGTTCAGAGGAGGGTTACTGGAATGGTGCTTGGTTGTCATATGAAGAGAGATTAAGATCTTTAAAACTGTTTTCTCTTGGAAAAAAAGAAGAGTTAGAGGGGATGTGATTGAGGTGTTTAAGATTGTAAAGGGAATTGATAGCATTGATGTATCATCTTTTTTTAATGGTTAACGGGGAGAATAGTAGGACTAGGGTACACAAATATAATTTTGACAGGTTAGGAGTCATCTTCAGCTAAGACAGGATGGTTGGCCTCTGGAATGGGTTGCCTTTGGATGTTGTGGAGGCAGAGTTTAAGAGAAAGCTTGATAAGTATATGAATGATAAGGGCTGGCTATAAGATTTTTTTTTATAGTTTAGTTTAGAGGAGGGGACAGCTGAGATAGACCAATAGGTCCCTTATTGTCCCTAAACATTGTTATATGTTATGTTAGTTGGGATTATGATCATAAGGGGGGGGGGGGGACTGAGAGTGATAAATATCTTTGTTATTGGTATTCTATCCCCTATACTTGTTATGCCCCTGTATAAGTAGGATAGTGCCCCTCCAGTTGCACAGCAGTAAGTCTGCAGATTTATAATGCTAGAAACCGTGTTTATTTGATTCTAGTTAAGAACAAAGCCATTGTGTAGCTTTGTGCTTAACTTGAAACAAACAAGTGACATAGTACAACCTAAGATGACAAGTGATTTTCTAGTATAAAAACAATAATATGTAAGTGTATCCCATTATTTCAGTAGTTAAGTTTAGCATTCAACCTAAGCATCTGCTGTTGAAATATATTTTATCATAAATGTAATTAACCAGTAATAGAAAGTTTATTACAAAACATTTATTAAGTGAAATAGTCTCCATTCT